GCCAGGCTGGCTTTCGCCCTGGTCGTGGTTGCATCGACCACATGTTTACCCTTCCTCAAACATGCGAGCATAGATACACATGCAGACGACCGACTGTGGTGGGTTTCCTTAACTTAATAGCCGCCTTCGACTCTGTTGACCGCGCCAGCTTGTGGCACTGCCTATCCATGAAAGGCGTGCGTTATACTGTTTTCCTCTACCGTGTTTTCTGAGGACACGTAAGCGTCTATGGGAAAATCTCCTGAGTTCAGCACAACAAGTGAGGTTGTTCAGAGTTGTCCTATATCTCCTTTCCTCTTTAACTTTTTGATCGAAATGACCAGGAATGGCTCGGTTTTTCAGACTATTCTAGAGTGGAAGTTCTTCCAGGTGACTGACTGACCAACCTGCACTATGCGGACGACATAGTTCTCTTTTGATCTGTTGCTTTGGCTACACAAACACCACTGCACGGTTCGGTGTGTACTTTTCACCTTCAAAGTCCAAAGTACTGTTACATGACTGGGCCGACACACTTCCGGTTTTTGCCATCACCGAACAGCCACTGGAACTGGTGGATCGGTTCACTTACCTTGGTAGCTGTGTCACCTCTGGTGGCCACATCATTGAGGCAGTTACTTCGCGTATTAGCAAGACCCGTGTAGCTATCTAGAGCCTCAACCATCTATGCAAACGGCTGGATACCAGTTTGTCAGTGAAATGTAGTCATCATCATCATTATACACGTCAGCTAGAGGTTGGAAACACCTCAGCTACTGTGCCGCAATACATAAATGAAAAAGGAAAATAACTACAAAATTTGCATGCCACCTGAGCTACCAGCAACGGATAGGCATCGTTCCGATAAGCTACCAGACGGCCACTAGGTAAAAGGAAAAATTATTATGTTTTACGCTAAGAAATGAGATCGTAGGTGGAGGGGGAAGCTAAACGGAATGGGGAGGGACAAAGCAACTCACAGCACGAACGCCACTGAGGTCGGCTCCTTGCCATGTCAGCAAGTGTATCCAGCCAAACGTATTCATTGTCTTTTGAATCCCAACCAGGGAGCCGTGACGGCCCAAGCGAGGCCAGCTCCGAAGTGAAGGCCTTCATTCCTCTGGACCAAGTCATCGCTTGGCCACCCCTCCTCTTCCATCCACATCCCCGGTGAGCAAACAACGCACGTCGTGGAAGTCGATGGGTTGGCATGCGTAACACGTGGCCGAGCCATCGGAGCCTGGTGCGTGAAATGACAGTGCTGAGCGGTTCAGTACTTTTCCCTGTGCCGTACACAAGGCGTCGAACACGCTCGTTGCTCACGCGATGTTCCCACCAGATGTGAGCCAAACTGCGAAGGCACCGATGGTCGAACGTAACTAGCCTTTCTATGTCCGCCGATCTTAGGGGTCAGGTTTCGCAACCGTACAGTAAGGTCGAACGTACCGCTGCATTGTACACTCTACCCTTCAGGGCGAGAGTAATGTCGCGCCGGCGCCATAGGTGGCAAAGACTGGTAAAAGCACTTCGAGCTTTTGCTATACGGTTCGTGATCTCGTCTTCGATCCCAGGGGCGCTGATACAACTTCCCAGGTAGTGTAATGTAGAGTGCATAACGCTGCCGTAAGGCCAGTATTACTTTACGCATCGGAGACATGGCCAGTTCGCAATAAAGGCATTAAACGCTTGGCCATGTTTGACCACTGGTGCTTGCGGAGTATTGCTCACGTTTGGTGGGAACACCGGGTGAGCAGTGCTGAGGTCCGCCAGTCGGTTTTTGACAAGGAGCCTTTTGGTGCCTCTCTCGAGTGTTTGATAACTGTTAGTCGCTTGCATTGGTCAGGCCATGTCCTCCGTATGCCCTTTGATCGGCTTCCTCGGCGTGCATTATACGCCGTGGCTGCACCAATTTGGGTGAAATGTCGAGCTGGTCAGTGCATGACATGACATAGAAGCTTGAAGAAATTGACTGAGAGGTTTGACCAAGCTGGTACGTTCCATCTTCGTGGATAAAGGTCTCGGGACGGTCCACACCAATGATTGTAGATTGTGTCAGCCATGGCGCAGTCACGAAGCCGGTGGCGTTCCTGCATTCGGCTTCTTTCATCTGGTTGTTATTTTTCTTCCCATTCTAATTAGTCTAACGCATTTCCTTCTTGCTTCCATTTTCTTATATTCTATTTGCGTTTAACCACACCACCTTGCCGTCGTTATTAATTGTTATCCTTGCGATGTGAGTCGTGGCAACTTGATCCACCCCACTGCGGTGCTGGGATCATAGTTGATCAACTGAACTGAACACAATGAGTCACCTTCTCATGTTGGCGCAATCGCCCATTACATATTCCCAACCGTACTGACTGACTAATCTGCAAACGACTTCCATTACTCGCCCACGGGATACAGCTGATGAAGCATTGAACTCGTTTATTAATTCACCGGTTGTAGAGGCAATCCAAAGCCGGTTTCATTACTCGACCACTTAAGGGATATTTGTGTGCCGTTTGGCACACTTGTTCACTTGTAACTAATTTGTACAAGTGTTCAGTATACAATGCAGTTACTCTTCCCAACCCACCCTGAATCCACTTTACCGCTTGTACTCTTCGGGTGGCCTGCTTTGCCGTGGCTCTCTTCCTCACTTGCATTAAAGGAACGTTGTTCTTATCCTAAAAAAAGAAATACCGAAAATAGGCTTGTGTGCGGTACCTACTTCTTATGGCTTGTTTCCGTTTCTTCTTTCTATCAGCAGAAGCACACGTATTTATATTCCCTCATGTCTGTAAGTCCATCGGAAAGTTATTTTCTGTCCTTTTTGGCGCATTTCGACTCGACGGGTGGCACCAAATGGGCCTCCCAATTCTTTGTATCTTAGCTTTCTATCAGTTTGCCATCAAAGCACCTGACTCTCTGCCCACAGCCCCCGCATCTATTTGTCGCATCAGCCAAGCATGTATCTGATTTTCTAGTTAACTCCATGCGCATGTAGTCTGTTTGATAGACTGTTTTGCAGTCGCCAACGCAGCGGTGCTGGGCACACAGCTGAGATCCGAAGGCGACCAACCACTAGCATATTCCACCGCTGCTGCACGATCCCCACACCACTTGACTCCTACCAGAACTGCCACGACACTTGCACGTTTTTGCCCTAGTGTGCTAGTACAAAACGCACTTCCTTGAGCTACACGTGTTTTACTTTTTCGCTCTTCTCTTACAATCCGCGCTGAAGGTGGGAAGTGCACGCCTATTATTCATGGGAAGTTCCGGCACTTTTCCCTGTTCTTCCTTGCCCAATCATGGAATGTAAATGATGGCCGTCTACTTATCTTCAAGCTCGTTTTATTCAACTGCGCTGCCATTCTTCTACCCGACACTGTAGCTAGTTGCTTTGCTTTATCCATTGTGTATTGAATCAGACTTCACCAGTCCCAATTCGACGTTCGGAGTAGGTTTGAAAGTGCGGGGGGCCGGAATTGGAACTGCATTCTGTAGCGAACAGGTGCGATAATCGCGATAGCAGACACATGGGGCAAGGTATTACTACGGCTGCTGATCGGGATGTTACCTCAAGGCGTTCAGTCACAGTGGACATAGTCCAGCTCATCACTTGGGCGTAATACTATTGACAGATAGGCATATAGTGATGACAATAGAAAGCCGAACTGCACTTTACAACCTGATCCGCGCATCAACACTTGTCAGACTGGCCGGATTAAGATCATTCGCCGCGCTGTTAAGAGTTCTACTCCCCCCTCCCTTTTATTTGCGCAGCTGTAGGATTTGGCATTTTCCAAAGCTTCTGCACCCAACCTCTGGGGAATTGATCGCAAACTCCTCCGAATAACCTGGCCATTATTCGAATCGATTTACTATCCTGCGTCTAACGCATGCACTGCCACAGCAGAGTCGTTAGCAATGCGTTATATTCATCCTTGTTCCTCAGTGGTCGCAAACTGCACCTTTTGCCTTTTGAAATCCGTACGCATAGCTCTCTAGCGATTTGACTTATCTATACATGTACAATGTTTGCACTTACTTTTCTAGACGCAGTTCGTCGTCCTATCCATGAGAAGGATTTCCTTCGAATGCACCAGCGCTGAGCGTAGTGTTTTGCCTCGTTGGAGGATCACTTTTACATTATCCTTCCTCAGTACTATCCGAATTGCCTCCGAGGTTCCTTCCTTGTATGCATTTCTAACCGTCCTTATCCACTCCGTCCTACGTCCTGATCGTAGGTTTAACGCTTTCTGTAACTAGCATTTGATTAACTGCCGTGGGTAACCACTAGGTAATTGATTATTCATCGCCCGGCCCGTAGCTTAAAGGTAAACAGCTTGTCTTGTAATCTGACGACGCGGGTTCGATCCCGCGTCGGTGCCGGGCGTTCCTCGCAGTATCCTTAGCCCACGTGCGACCCGTGGTGGTTGCGCTGCAGCGAAGCGTCGGTACTACGTACCGGCATATTGCTATTGTCTTTCTTTTCCTCTGCCTCTTTCCACCCAATTTTTATGTCTTAAACGTGCACAGTGTCTTTGCTCTGTAGAACCGTGCCCAGGCTACACCAGCGTAAATTATTTTTCGATGACGCGAAATGCAGTGCAGCACCCGCGTTTGATCAGCGAACTGCTCGATACAGTCATTTTAAACCATCGGTGTCTGATTCGTGGTTATTAAACTACATCGAGCAGTCATTCTTCTCCCCTTTTCCTCTTTTTGATACGTTCATTTAAGTGTATTATTGTAATAATCAAACGGACTCCTCCTACTTTGTCTGCACTCAAACTTCACTGTACACATCACGTTTCCAGTTTTGGTGCCCCGCGAACAGACAACATGCAAACTCCATCGACTTCCAGCGCCATTGCATTCGAATCGAATGCATCAGTGTCAGTATTTACGACTTGTGCTAATCTATGCTATCTTTACTTGTCCCTTTTGGACCATCATGCAACGGACGATTGTTTTTTATATCACACCTACACGTATGGAATGAATCATTATGTTTCATTACTCCTCTCTAGGAGTGCGTTCCCGACTACGACGTATCCAACAGTAATCGTGCATCTAGTCAAGACCCACAATCCACACGGATGGTCACCGGGACCTATGTGGACCTGAACAATGCAGTTCTTCCTCATGCTGCTGGACAGCCTTCCAGCCCGGTCCACTTACACCCGCAGACCCCAGTCACGGCAGAGTACGCTTATCCGGGACAGACGTCTGGCGATGCGCCAAGACAAAATGATGAAAGTGAGTGGCGCTTCTTTGACTATCTTCGACTCAAGCGTGGGCTGCAGTTTATGTGAATCTTATGAATCCTATTTCGCATCGACTTCTTGATGGTTTGAGCGAAACGCGCGACCTAGTTACGTCTCCATGGTCTCCGTTCTCAAATATGAATGATTTGCATTTGTTTGTGTTGTCTGTTTATTTTTGCATGCATTAGCTTTCTCATCCAAATCATCAGGATTCTATACCTATGTCTCCGATGAGGCCGGGAGATTTTTACCGCTGACATGAACCTCCACTGACATCATCATTGGAGTCTGATTTATCCAAGCGCTTTTTGTATAACTTTGTCTGTACGCACTTATATATGGTTAGCGGCATCCGATTCTCGTATTCGCTTGTCACTGAGACCTCCATGAAGATAGTCGCAATACGCTTACGCCTACAGACGAACCATGAGTGGCTTGCACTGCATCACCCACATTTCCATTATCCACACGCCCCATATCCATCATCATCATTATGATTATCAATTAGCTGAATATGAGATACACACTTCCACTATTGTTCCGCAACACAGAAGGATTGGATAAGTGAAATTAATGAGGTACAACACATTATAGATTGCAAAAGACTAACAATATACCGCTTAATAACCTATTACGCTTCAAGATTGAGATCGGGGTTGGATAGAAAAGAGAAGCAGGAAGGGGAGAGACAACGAAACTCATAATACAAACGCAATTGAGGTTGAGTTCTTGCCTTATCAAATAGTGTATCCAGCCAAAAGTGTTTATCGTCATTCGGACCCTATCCCGACAGTCAGGAGACACCATCCAACCACAGGTTCGAAGTGAGAGACTTCATTCCTCTTGACCAAACCATCGCTTGGCCTCACCTCATCTTCCATCCATACCCCAGGCGCGCAAATAACGCAGTTCGCGGGAGTCGGTGTGCTGGCACGTAGCCATGCCGTCGAAGCCTGGGGCATGAAATAACGATGCTGAGTGCTTCAATCTCTCTTCCTCCATCAAATACGCGATGCCGAACACGCTCATTGCACACGCGGTGTTCACTCCTCTCCCCCCCCCCCAGACATGAGCTACACTGCGAGCACACCGACGGTCGTACGTAACAAGCCACTTTACGTCTGCGGAGCTGATGGATCAGGTTTCGCAACCGTACAGGAGGGTTGAACGCACGGCTGTCTAATAAACTCTGCCATTCAGGACGAGAGCAATGTCGCGCCATCGCCACAGGATGCGGAGATTGGCAAAACACTTCGCGCTTTTACTATGCGGTTCGTTATCTCGTCATCTATTCTACCGGTGCGCATATAGCTGCCAAGGTACTTCAAATTCTGGACGACCTCTAACTGATCACCACCAACGATCAGCGCAAGCGTAAGTCCCTGTCAATGTTAGGGAACGGCTTTGCATTTCCAGGGTGCAAAGCATGATCGGAAACGATTGACTGCCTGTGCTAATCTGTCCATTGCTACTTGGCACGTTTGGGAGCTGTCACGGATTTGGGCAATGTCGTCCGCATACTCCGAGTCAAGAAGTCGCTCACTAGGAAACAGCTCCATACCTTCAATGTCATGTCCAGTAAGTGACATTCCCATGACTTTGTCAATAACGAATTTAAGCGGAAAGGTGACAGCGTGCAACTTTGTCTCACACCGCCGAAGATATTGAAGTGCGACGACAGCTTGCCGTAAACCCTCACTCTGCCTGAACTATGCGCGTACAGCCCTCTGATAATGTTTGCAAACTTACTGGACCCTACTTTCCTGAGAAGACAATCCCGCAGCGCACATTGATTCACCGAATCGAAGGCACATTTGATGTTGGGGAACACGACTTCGGTGAGTCACCAATAAATATGGTGGTGTTATTACAACTGACTTAATTTGAAGATGTGATCAATACTGTCTCGACTTCAACGAAACCTGGCTTGCTCCTCACAAATCTAGCTTTAACGAGTGCCGGCAAATCTATGCAGAACGACAGGCAAGTAACTTAGATGCCTTTGAGATCAGACTGATTCCTCTTCGATTGCCGCATTCGCATTCAGCTGCTTCTCAATGTTAGGCCCAACGCTCGAAGCGTTTTGACAAGCTGTGGATAGGCCATCCACTCTCGCCCCTTGTAGTCTCGCTAACACCATGTCTCCTTCTGCCCATTTCTCGTGTCAGACGGAATAGTTTCCAATGGTTACCAAGGGCAGTGGCCATTTCCATCTCCGATGCACGATGAGATTACCAGGATTCACAATCTCTCTTCAGGCTGGCACGGAGTTTTTCCCTGAGATTTTTACGAGTCTCGTTGTGTTCGCCTCCAGTCTCAATGATTCAGTGAGTATCCAGAAATTTCAGACTGCATAGAGACCCAATCTCCAGGTTGGCCATTTAAGTTGCCACATGTAGACATGCTTGCTGCTAATAGCGTCAGGTGGATCTGCAACCAGTAATCTTCATCTGTGTTTAGCATACTTTTATACGCATTTGAACATCTGGCCTCGCCATTTGACAGGTATCTACGCGCTCACGTCGCCTTTTGTTTCCATTGAAGCGGCACAAACGAGTGCGTGGTCACAATGCTTACATGTGCTCCAAATCGAGCGACAGGTTTAGTCACATCCTCTCCAGCGGTAACTGATTGCATTGTGTTCGATTTGCGTCCATGGCTGGTGGGCGCCATATCACTCTCCGGTAGGTGTTGTATCAGAAGTTAGTGTTCACAAGTAATAGACGCGCATCTTCACACAGGTGCAACAACCGGTCACCGTTATCATTGCAGGAGCCTAACAGTGTTGGCCGCCGAGATGCGGCTCATAGGGGTCAGTTTTCCAACTTATGCGTTCAGATCACCAGACAGCACTACAGTATCTGTGCTTCTGTAACGAAAAACCTCGTTCGGTTAGTGATAGAACTCATCTTTCACGAAGTCAACACTATTGTCTGTGGGTGTTTATGCCCCAGTGACAAACAGGCACCATTTGTCTCCGCGCACCTTCGAAGCTTCGCACGTGCAGCCAGTCGGACGGCGCACATCCAGCTTTTGACTGGGATCCAATCTATCCTTATTCCGGGGACTCAGAACAATGCCTACATCGGCTTGATCGGCATTGGAAGCCGCGTAATGAGAAAGTGCCGCTAGGATCGCTTGTGGGGACCCCAGCGTGAACACAGTGCTCGAATCGTGCAGGCAAGTTTCCGGTAAATAGCATATATCGATCGGTAGATTCTCTACTGTTCGGAAAACTTCTGCCTGTTGGCCAATCTGTAACGAAGTGCGCACGTTGAGGAATGCCAGTCTTAGCGATGATCGAGGACTCCTAAGAGACGGATGAACTGACATCCGCATGGCTGAATAAAGACTTGTCGTCTGAAACGGGGCGACGCATTGCGTTCGCTTGTGACTTGGAACTGTAAGACAAGCGTCTGTTGAGGCAAGATGAGAGAGGGTCGAGCATTTGTGGGTGGATGAGAACGAGGGAGACAAAATTGAAGTTAGAACTGGACGATTAGGATAAAGACGCGCAGGAGGGGAATAAGAGGACTCGAAGGATGAGCAGTAGCTTCCTCATCCCTTATCTGCCCTGCTCGATGCAGCAAATAACCGCCGTCGAGTATCGCGTACGGCAACCAGTTTATCAGGACATTGTATAGAGAAAGTTCATTGTGTCGTATTGCATGGGCAGGATGTTGTCAGGTTTCCCAGGTCTAGACATGAAAAAGATTAGGGTTCTCAACCAAAGCCTTTGTTTCAAAAACCTGACCATAAAGCAGAGGGTTTTTGGCTACAGAGAGTCCGTATTTTTTGAGTAAGGAGCCACCCCCACTCCAACCCCCAACCTGGAGGGCTACGAGGCTGAGTTTGTCTGGCATCTAACCATTGGTCAATCGTCGGCCGGTGACCGAGTGGTCTGCAAGTTTGCTTTGCAACCATAAGGTCACCGGTTCGAATGCGCTTAGGGGTGGGCGTCCTCGCGGTATACTCAGCCCGCGCGCGACTGGTGGTGGCCGCGCGGCAGCGAAGCGCCGTTACGGCGTATAAGCTGACACATTTCATTTCATTTCACATTTCATTTCATTGGTCAATCTGATATGAGTAACTCTGAAGGTTCAAAAGCACCATCCAGTATAGCTCAGTGGATCTTTGAAGCACGCAACTCATCCCACCACATTAAGGTCCAATCTCATCGCGATGTGGCCCATACCTATTGTAAACCTGTAATAAGACCAGGAGACATGTGGACGGAAGCCAATTTTATCAATGGAGCCGGCTGACACTCCTTTACCATGTACACCTGTAGCATTCCTGTCTGTCTGATCTCGAAATCAGGGGTATCGGACATACCAAATGCGGTGACTGAGCCGTAACCCGCTTCACATTAGATGGGACGGGTCTTTGAGCCTAATATGGTCATGACCACCGTGCACCTTGTCTCCCCAAACAACGACCGTCTTGGAGCCAATACAATCGATAAGTAGGCACCTTGTTAACATTCACATCAAGCGCATATACATCGGGTATATCAAACAGCAAACACGGAAAACGTAACAAAAATATGCACGCAAACTGGATAGCAAATGTGTAGCAGAATGGCAGCACAGAGCAAATCAGAAAAATGTATTATGTCTGATCTAGTGTAAAGGTGCTGTTGGGCAGAGCAAAGTTCAGGTTCAAGGATATTAACTGGCTAACACAGAAAAGAAAAGAAATGAACACACGCAACAAAGGTGGGGAGAATGCGGAGTATTAACAGGATTGAGAAAATATGATAACCTTGGTTCAGTCCGTTTTAGTCGAATACGGAACAAGCAAGTGTAAGTGTAATTCACTCTTGCCCATCTGCGGGGATGAAGAATGATGTACGCAAATTTGACCTCAGCATGAGGAAAACACTCGCAACATATCATATAGATATAACACATGCTCATGCCAACTTATTCAATTATTGACCCACGAAATCTATCTGATCATCATCCTTCAACGCTCCCCTGTGTATACATCTCATCGCTGCTGACGCAATATTACCATCCGCTATCAGCAAGACTTCCCATAACAGTGTTTAAATAGCTTAGTTCACATGGTTTTGAAGTCTACTGTTCGACCGTATCTGGCCTATCTGCGTCCGATTTGCATAGATAGTAGAGAACCCGATCATCCGGTGCTGGTTAAACAAGACCAGTGACCGGTTAATACTGATTTTCTTCGACTCCAGCTAGCTCGTTACTGGACTAAGAAACGCTTCTGGTCTCCTACCTTCGCATTGAATAATCGCGCATCTCGTCTTTCTCCATTGGCTTAGTTGACCGCAGTTTATCACAGATGCGCATTACTTTCCTCATATTGGTCGCATTTCGTCCTTTTGATTGAGGCATTGCTATGTTGCATACACTTCTTACTTTCCATGTCTACTCACTCCTTGTTCCGTTGTTTCACTTTACGTAGAGTATGGGACCAGCTCAGCCGTCGCTACTGGAACGGTGTTCAACGGCAACGGTCATATTCAATCCGATCCCAGGTAAGTCCACAGTGCATTATGTTATCGTTTGTACTGCGTGATGTACCGTGATTTTTCTTGCCACATACTAGTGATCGATTGGCTGGCACATCACACGATATGCGCCGCACTCAAAGCAAACCATGCGCATCCGGCGCTCTTCCCCTTGCCGTCGACGCTGTGCGCACTATTGGCCCTGGGTCATCCCGGTCATGTGGCAGCGTTGCATCGGTTTAGCCTACTGCTGTTGCCCATGGCTATCCACCATGGCCAGTAGTCTCCTCCTACGCCTTGTTGCTAGTCATTGTGTTCTAAATAAATCCTGTTAACTTTCCTTCCCAAGGAAGCTCATTTTGACCTTTACTTTTTTCCTTCCTACCCATCCGTGCTGGTTCCGATTGTTGCACCCTTCGAACTCCTCCATCCCGTAGATCTTATTTACCCCTTCGTTCACGCAGCAGTCATCTGTACGCCCAATACGGTCTGTAAATAGTTTCCCATTGTATTTCACAAGCTTAGACTAGAAAACGCAATCAAAGCAAATTTTGGCGGGGCCACCACGCTTCATATGAAGCGATGAATCTGAGGAATCAAATGCACACCGAACATCCCTTATCATACGCCTTTACTGCTACTTCACCAAAACAGGAATCCCTACAGACGCATGCTGGCACGCCGGAAACTTGCACATCGTCCTTCACGTTTTTGCCTCCGGTACATCAGTTCACACTGGCATTGTGCGACATGAAGTCATGTTCGCGTTCCTCCAGCAGACGTTAGTTGCTCGAGCTGCTAGGTGCCGGTAAAACCACCTCTCCATTTACCTTGGTCTCAGTCCTCCTGGAGCGCATTCCTTCATGCTTCAGTCATTCTGCAAACACACCATCACCGCTCAAATTGGAGCTTCTCTCACCTTGTAGTCAATATAACACTCTGGACTAAATGAACGACAATGCCATACCCGAGTCACAACTGGTACATTTACATCGAACTCCGATTGCTTAATCGCCTACCCATCCTCTTGCTGCGCCCATGTCAATTCTGCTTATCTCACTACTCCGGTAGGTACATGCCGTGCTTACCTTTGAACAAGTCCTCTCTCATTGCTATGGCTGACGGCCTGAGATGCTCATTAATTTCTACACTCCACAGTACATCACAAGGTCGAATGCTCAGTCTACTTCACATCACAATGGAGGTTATCACGTCACCTTCATCTGGCATGTCCTATTCAGTTGACTCGCCCACCCTCTGTTTTCACTTTCCTTTCGCCAGTGACTTTCGTCCGACTGCTTCTGCCCATTCACCTGCGTTCATTGTTCGCACCATTGTCTACTATCACTTCCGTGTACACTTGTTATTCCGAATGTCTATCATTTCTCCGGGCTTTTTCACTGCGAGCCAACTTGCCAAATCGATCCCTCGGTCCCACCCACGGCGTGCACAACTCGTGCATGTGTGTGTGTGGCGATTAGTTGCCTCTGTAGCATGCATAGCGCGTTGTCATCCTGGCAAGCATATGTACCTCTTAGTCTCCCACACACTACACGTGTCTTGTAGTTCGGGTGACACAGTATTGCCGGTTTGACTTCTGTGTACGTGGTGCAGTGTCATCTTTGCCCATCTTTATGCTTTACTCCACCTGAGTCTCCCAAGCATCAATGTGTGCGGTGACATTTACGAGTAGATTGTTTAGTGGATATAAACATAGTAGGAAGCTGTGTTATATATTCACATCCCTTCGCTTTTTGTGGCGATTTCCATTGTGATCCGAAATGGTCCTACGCACCAGTTTAGGAATCGAACTCCTAGCTTACTTCCTACTGCACTCGAACCCCTAAAGGTTGTTTGTTTTCCTTCGTAGATTTACTCTCCTCCTTCTGCCCAATTCATATTCTGCAGATACCGACCAATTTTGTCCGCACCAGTCAACGTGCGGTTCCTTGCATAGTGTGGACACAACAGTAACTCATCTGTCGATTCCACTGTACGAACATCTCCAATAGCCTCGGTTCTTTTAGAAACTGTGCTGAGGCTAAATCCCGAATATCTCTCGGTAGACCACTGCTCGTCTCATGTTGTGCACCATACTACTACTTCGACTCATCCCACATTTCTAACGGATACGTGGGAATTACTCCAGACTATCAGTTGCTTCGGTTGTTTGCGCAGCAATGGCAACACAGCACTTGGTACGGATTATTCGCCGGGATCGTAATCGTCAAAGCCCTGCTGTCGAGGAATAAGCATGAGATTGATCTGATAAAAACCCGGACTTCTTGTTCGGACCTCCAGGATCACAGTGTGTCCACTTCTTACCAAACAAACAAACATCTGGATGTCGTACGAATATTAGATGGCATCAGCGCAGTGGCTTCCTCATTGTTCCCGGCGCCTGAGTCACGAACGGCTTGACTCTACAGCTTACTCAATATCACCTAGACAAGTAGCCCTACTTAAAGGCGTCTGTTGGTGATCTTGTAAGGAACTATACATCGAAACATGCTTGGATCTAACTTAGTCCTTGATTTGAACCTCCGAACTAACGGCAATACTAGCAGTTGTGGTAATGACAATCTAGGAGGAATGCGGTAAGTTACAATCAGCCAACGGAACTATCAGGAACGAGGAACCAGATACTAGAGTACCACCTTGCTGGCCGCGTCATATTCGTTAGAATTGTTAGCCAGTAATGCACACGATCGAGGAAGACGATATCACTAGCCTGACTCTGCATTTAGCTTAGTTTCTTCATGCTCCTTATCACGACATTGACTCGTAGCCTCTTCGTTTCACTTTGCTGGACACCGATCATGCAATCTGCAGATACACGGAGCCCCAGAGGAGGTTTGTTTCAATGCACCAATGTCTGCATTACTCTATCGGAACTCCCACTGGATATGAGCCATTCTTCATGAACATCAGTGGTTGGACACAGTCTTTTTGTTGACATCGATGAAACGCACTGGCCAGGTCGCCCATTCACACAGTAACATTGGCCTCATTGCTATGTTGTAATGCTTTTCAAACGGCCACGACGAAGTGTTTTGGGGACACCTCATTTCGTTGTTTTGTTTATACCTTATTGTACGTTGGATTGGGGTGTCATTTCCAAAAGTGCCTCTCGCATAACTTACCCAAGGGCTAACACTTTTCCACTCATTTTGCGATTGCACAAAGATGTCTGTCGATCAACTGATCGTAGTTTCTCGCCTTTGAACCTTATGGGGATTTCGAGAATCTGAAGGTCATGTGAAGGCGCGTTGCAACTCGCGAATACGGGGTGGCCAACACACGCTTGTGATTATTGTAATTTACCTTCCGTCGCGTTCCCCGAACCATGCGTCGTTTTCTTTTAGAGTTCACCCATCGTCCATTGCATTGTGCGCCCCCATCTGTTGAGGCTGGTGTGTTTGTTACTCCATCGGTCGATACACATTAACTTATGTTTTCCAACATACCGTACTCGGAAAGAAGTGATTCCGTTCCGGCGTCTTGTTGGCGATGTTTCCTGAGTGCTCCACAAACTTTTTTCTTTTTCTACTCTTAGTAGATGTTGGACAGTATTATTATCGCCTTTATCGGCCCAGACTAACTTCCAAGATCATAAGACGTAGATCTTGTTAGCAAACTTCCATAGCGAATGGGGAGAGATACAGCGTTTATAAAAGTGGGAAGCCTGTTTATATTATTAAGCGAGCGGCTTTCTTGTATGTCTCCTTGATATCAGAATTCATCTGGGCTCTCGTTGGTGGGTTCTAAACGTCATGCATTCTCTGGTTCATTTTGGTGCCTACGCGACCGTTCATTGACTGACCCCAGGCCAGCCAACTTCGAGCTCTGATAATTCAAGCTCGAACCATGAACTGGACATACACGGATCCTTTAGCGGGGTTACACTTTGTTTTTTGTACGCAGCTCAATAAGTGTCCTGTTGTCCTTGAAGGATATTTATTCGCACTGATGGAACTGTCCGTCTTTTTTTGCCATGTTTACACCAATGACCATCTATTTTTCGTTCTCTTTTTCGTTCTCACTTTCCGCTTACTTTGCCATTTTCTACTTATTACATCCACGTCTTCCCGGACTCCCTTTTTTACAGGTGTTACTCCTCTTCCGACGACAGCGTGAAGAGCCTTAGTCGCGCTGTCGGTATGCTAAACTGCGCGGCTGGTCCCTCAATCCGGTCATCCGATGGTGCCGCTTCTCCATGCCCAAGTTCAGGTACTTTGTACCCATTATTCCCTTGCGTTCGCAACAGATCTTTTATCCGTTATATCTCCATTTTGTTCCTCCACGCTCTTGTACTATGGCACTGCTAGCCCCTGACCTTAAAGATCACACGTCTGCTTTGTAATCTGAAGGCTTGGGTTCCAGCCTGCGACCCCCGCAGTATTCTTAACCCACGTGCGACCGGTGGTGGTTGCGCGGCACTGAGGCGTCGGTATTGGGTACCAGCACTATAGCTGTGATTTTCACATGCACTTAACATGTATAATGATGAATGATGATAACTGCGTACCGGCGTACTGCTGAGGCCTTTTTGTACTATTGCACGAAGTACGGAAATCATGGCTTGTTCTACTTTGGCGCCAACTTTGTTTACTTGTAACTGGCAGTTGAACAGCTGGAGTGACTGTATATCGAACGAACTATCAGTGTCTAGATGGAACACAAGCGGACCACCTTTCGGTGCTTTGCCAGTCCGCGTTAAAGGAAACAGATTCTGCACAGCGACTGGCTTTCAGATCAAATACACATCTGTCTCGTTTCACAGTTGCATCAGTCTACGTGTATCTCGATGGCTGGATACCTCCCTATGTGGATAGGCACCATTTGGAACCCACTGGACTCCCTGTCTACGATCAAATCACCATGGAGATGATTGACAGCCCACAGCAGCGTTTCACTGACCTGCCGGCTGTACACTGTGTCTATGGTATAACATTCCAACAACTACCGCTCTTCGGTCAATAATAGGCGTCAGTTGAAAATCGCATGACGCTGGCTGCATTTTTTGTCTAATGATGGACGCAATATTCAACATACCCGTCCATTTGATCAGTGTGGCTAATCGGTCGTTTTGTTTATAAGTTATGCCGTTTAGGTTTCGCTTTAACCATTCCACATCCTTTCACGTCACTCTATGCCATTGTGGTTTGTGCCTCACGTTACCGCGAGTAATTAGAAGGAACCCGGATGGCGACACTGATTTGAAGCTGGGCCACTCAGATGTTGGAGTTAGACACGTTTTAGTTGAATAGAATTGAATAGCTATGTTAACACATGGGCATGACAGCCCCGTTCAGTGGGCAAAAAGACATCAGCAGTACGCTGTACCGAAGCTTCGCTCCTACACGGCCGCAGGTAGTTACTTGCGGCGTAGAGATACTACTAAATCGTTCACATCTGCGCCGACTCGAACGGGCCCTTAGTTTGCAAGTCAGACACCAAAATCATTCGTCAACTGGCCGGATGTCCACTGCACCCTTTGGTATGATCTAATATCAGTGATTCCTTCTCTCCATGGCAACCGTCTACAACACTTTTCTGTTCATTGTCTCATGGGACTTGACTAAACATCATTCTTTGGTACCAGTATCAGTGGACAAGACAGATACGGGCCACTGTTTCGGTGGTCAACATACATCTGCCATCAAGACTAATTTGGCCTCTACGGGAGCATCATCACTATTCGCACGCGTAACATAATCAAAACCTGGTGTTATTCCAAATGATCCTCTTCATATTGCCGTTCTTCCTGCATTTGTCCCTTCATTTTCCATCTTGTCATCTCTGTGGACTGCTAGAGAGCCGAGCGTCATCTTCTCATATTGCTACTCTTTTTTCTTTTGATCTCCATCTTTTTGAATGCACCACCGAATTACACAGAGCTTCCACCACCAGGCTTGCTTTAGCAATACATGGAGAGCATGAATGCTCATTCTCTCTCTCTCTCTCTCTCTCTCTCTCTCTCTCTACATACACATCGTAGGTTGTCCATTTAGAATCCAGTGGTGCTCTTGGCCATTAGTAACGTTGCGCAATCACGTTATCGAAACGTGCGCATCCAAATTGCCGCATTATTTCCCTCTAACGATGCTGTCGGGGATTCTGACGTGATGATGGCCCATACGCTTACTTTAAGATTTCGCCCCTCCGCAGTCAACAAATTATGTTTTTTTTCACCGTCTGTGGGACTCACATGTTTGTGTTTGCGCTCGGGCTTGACATTCCGATATTGATCGGCCTATGCGGTTTCCTCTTCTATTCATTTTCATGCTGTTGCATCGGGGTTTTATCAGATTTTGTTCTGTTCTTCATGCTGAACAGTTACGTTGCAAACGTTTCATCACCAAGAGTCGACAAAACAACTCGGTTTGCTTATTACTCACTGAAGAAGTCACCCCGATTGGTGATGAAACATTTGCAACGAAACTGTTCAGCACGGAGAACAGAACAAAATCTGAGCAGATCACCTGAGCTACAGGTATTCCGATTTATTGCGGGTTTTCTCGTCATCGCACCCTTTTAAGGATGGTTGTGTGGTCATCTGAGAACACTGACCTACCTGTTTGAGCGGGCAGGATGGAAACAGGCTCTTCCAGCCAACTGAGGCTAGTTAGTTGTAGTAGAGCTATTCAATTTTTTTGCCAGCTACTGGAGAATCAGCTTGACGTTAGCAGGGACAAACCGTTGATCTACATTATCCCGCTCTGCCTTAGTACAGAACCGTAATCCCAGATATAAGGAGTGCAGTCTGGTTTCCGGTGGAGATAGTGCCGTATGGATCACATTTTCGCTACATTGCATTACAGCGTCGCACCTACCGCATGTTATGGTTGTGTACATCGTTTACAAGAGAGCGTTGCACTCAGACAATCGTTTTCCTTGGTTCGACGCACTTGCTCGGAATGGCGTTCCCAGGATTACTGTGAACATTTTGCATGCCCTTCACTCGGACAACAAGGGTTACGTCGGGGTTTATGGACGTATTGCCGATCGCTCTTCCGCGCTTTTCTATTTCAACATTGCACTTATTTCAACATTAGGGTTTATGCTACAGTGTTTTCTTGTGGAATCAAACCCAGGGACTGCGGACGGCGCCGTCCCGCTGTTTGACGATCACACAACGCCACGGTCAGCCCTGAACTACCACTCTTGGAATGTTCCATCTTTTGATACGCCCTTTGCACCTTTCAAGGTCACTTGCAGTGCCGCTGTTCATTTAACAACTTTGATGGCAAGGCACTACCCCGATAACCAATCAGCTCGCCCACCATGTTAGCTGCAACGGATGCTCTACTTTTGTCGTTACTTTACCTACTACAAACGACAGAGCTGTTTTCGTGAGGATGCCGCACCAGATGTGGAGTCCTGTTTTAAAAGCCCTTTTACTGTTTTATAGTGTAACTTGCCCTTTCGATCCAGCGGTATCAAGCACTCACAACTTCTTCACCATTGTTATCCACTTGTCGATATCTATGAGTTAAGAAGGTGAGTGTTTGGCTAGTTCGGGTCAATTCGCCAGATCAGCAATTATGGCTGCATAAGTCGTGTTACATCTGGCATGTGCCGCCTGTACCTATTCAATACTGTCCAGGAAAGACCTGAATCTAGCCTAGCGCAATCTCGCGATAGACATTAATGGTTCACTGACGACCAAACTGGGCGCTATGCGTTAGTCACAAGTTGGATTGTAGGGATGTCCGCTGTGTGTAGAGTTAATAATAATAATAATAATACGTATATTTCTCTTGATGAGAGCAACTGTGTCTATAGCAGCGCATATCAGTTTGTATAGAAGAATCCATGCTCTTGCACGAGTGACATGCGTAGGCGGAGTATTGAGATATGCGTTTCATGTATTAACATTTTGTTGAATGGTTGAGGCCAAACCCTAGTTATGAAAACTGGTGTTCATATGTTGTTGGGCCCCTCTTGGAATAGCTCATCGAGAGCTTTTTCCCACATGCATATAGAGCTTAGGGTAGTTACATCAAGCTAATTGGCGAGTCTGCTACTAAATGTTGCCACATTGTCACATGATCTGAGTGTTTTTGGTAGTTTATTCCACAGATATCTGTATCTGATCAGGAAGAAATTAAAGCAGACGTTCGTTCTAGCCTTCGGTATATTTAATGTATAATCTTTGTTGCGAAACGCTCGAGTTGAGCAATGTTGTAGATTGAGTGTAAGCAGGTCGGAATAGGTCTTTTTGTGTAACATGTTGAAAAGCAGCAACAAGTTGTGCTTCAATCGTCAAATCCAAAGTGGTTCGAGATGAAGTTCATTGCAACGTTCTCCATAACTCATAGCAAAGTTTTTACCAACCAGATGTTTGGTAAATGACCTCTGCAGGTCCTCCACAGCAATTCTGTCACTCTCATATTTCCGTATATTATGCTGCAGTATTCGCGGATGAGGCGAGTGAGTAGCTTGAAAAGCTCCAATCTAGCACGAGTTTTGTGTATTTTGTTTGATAGATTAAACATAGACTGTCTGGCGCGTGCTACTTGGTATTGGGCCTGTTCGGAAAAATTGAAGGTAGACGAGTACCTAATGCCAAGATTTCGCCTGGACAACTGTGTAGGGACGCGTTCACTGTTTAGGGTGATAGATCCTTCGGGGATGCGGCTGCCGTAGGACATGATGCTTGATTTCTTAGCCGAGAGTTTTGTCACCCATGCGCAGCACCATGACTCAAGGGAATGTAAATCATTTTGAATGAGCAGTAATGTCCCGTGAAGCTTGTCGCGCCGATCTTATAGACTATTTTGATATCGTCAGCAAACAAAAATGATGTATCATGTTTTACGGATGTGGTGATGTCATTGATGTAGCGCAAAAGAGTAAGGGGCTGAGCACACTCCCTTGAATGATTCCACTGGTAATTGAGCGTGGGGAAGAGCGATAATCACCTAACGTGACTAACTGATGGCGATCACTCAGGTATGAAGATAGCCAACTTAGTAATGGGTCCCGAATCCCTAAGTCCTCCAACTTTTGTAACAGTCGCTTGTGCGGTATTCGGTCGAACGCTTGATGTATGTCAAGAAACAAGATTACCACTGCATAGCCGGAATCGATTGATTCTGAAATGTGATTAAGGTAATGCAGCTGACAGGTGGTGCACGATCGCTTATTGAGAAAATCATGCTGCGTATGGTTGGTCAGGCCAATAGACTCAACAAAGTTCATCATCTGCATTCTGACCAGCTTTT